GATGGATGATGGATGGATGATGGAGGGATGGATGATGGATGAATGATGGATGGATGGATGGATGATGGATGGATGATGGATGGATGGATGATGGATGGATGGATGGAGGGATGGATGATGGATGGATGGATGATGATTTTTTTTCCTTTCACAAACACCTCCTTTCTCCGTGTGACACTAGGGGTCGGGGATGGGGGGGGTGCATTGTTGGGGTCTGGGCTGTGGGTGGGCTTTGGGCCTTGGGGGCGGTCAGTGTTGGGGCCGGTGCTTCGGTTCCTCCTGGGCTGTTCCGATTCTTTTAATCTAGGTTCCTGGTTGCGATGGCTGGCACTTTGGCCAGGGTGGCTGCCGGCTTTCGGCGGGGGGTCGGCTATGGTAGTGTACGTGTGGTCATTGGTGGTGTAGGGCGGCGGTTGGGGGCGTGACTTCGCCTCATCAGGGCACTGGCTGGTCTTCCTGTGTGGCATTTGCGGTGGGGGTGCTGTGTGTGTGGGGGGGTGCGTAGGTGGCGTCTCCGGGCCTATGGTGCGGGGCTCTTGATGTGGGGGCCGGCCCTCCTCAGCTGCGGCTCCCTGCTGCTCTGCCCCTTGGGCTGGGGCCGGCCTGTGGTCGCTGTCAGGTAGATGGTGCATGCGGTCGGCCCGACAGAGATTCTGTCGGTCTATCTGTGTGTGCCTGTTTGTTGCTCAGGTTGGGTTTTTGGTGGTCCCCCCTCTCTTGGATCAATTTGGGCCCCACGTTTGGTGTGGGGCCCACTCCCCCCGGTCGTGCCCCCCTTTGGCGGGGGACCCCCTTGCCGCCGGTGCATTGGTGGCTCTCGGCATCTGGGCTGGGTGGTGGGGTGCACGTCGGTCCGCCCTGGTTGCTGCCTGGCGGGGCCTGGGTGCCCTGGCTCTGTCGGGGCTCTGCCGGGGGGTGGTATGGCCTCGGGGCTTGGGGCTCGGTGTCCATGGCCGGATCTACTTGGGGGGGGGCATGGGTTGCCGGCCGGACCTGTGGGCTCGTCGCTGCAGCTTCCTGGAGGCTCTGCATTGTGGTGGCTGGGGTCACCCGGTTCTTTCCTCTGCTCCTCTCTGGGGGGGTGCGGTTCTCCCTGTTGGGAGACTCCTGGGGCTCCGGGCCTGTGGGCCGCTGTGTGTCTGTGGCTCCGGTCCTCCCTATGTTGCCATTGTGTCCTGGGGGGGCGGGTCTGTGGGCCCCCACGTCCACTATTGGGCATTCTTTTGGAGAAATCTGGTGGTGGCGGGCGTGCTTGCGCGGGTGTTTGGATTCAGGTGCTTTGACAGATGCACGCTGGGTTGGGTAGTGGTGGAAGCTAGATGATTCATTGTGCCATGTCGAATGTTTCATGGTGATACTGTGGGTGGCATTGTGCTGTGCATGTTGTTTTGTCATGGTGGTCTCTCGTCTTATCTATTTCTCTTTTATTAATTATTTATTTATTTATTCTTCTTTCTTCTCTTTCTTTAAAAAAAAATAAATAAATTGAGCGATGATGATAAGTTCATTGAAACACTTCACAATGTTTCTACACTTAAACTGAGCTCAAAAAAATATTAGTTGTTAAAACTACGTTAAGTTGGGATGCTGCCAAGTGGCTACAAAACAAACTGAGCTCATTTGGTTGGGACAGATTTGCAGATTTTCCACATTTTCCAACAATTTTGAGTCACAAACTGGTTTCCAGCAGCTGCAACCAGTGAGACACAGGCTTCAGACACTTCCCTCCTGCAACTTACAGGCCCGCTGCTCTCGCAGGAGTAGGTGGAGGTCCGCTGGACTTTATGCTCTGGTTCAGAATAATCGCTGTCCAGGGAGTAGGCGTCAGGAGGAATGGCGTAATCACTCTCGGAGCTGATGGAGGACATGGACACACCTGCAGCACAAAAGGACAAGCCCGTTATTGGACCAGCAACAGGAGCCGTTAACCCATTAGATACTGCTGGGACACTCAACCTGCCTGAACCTGGCTCAAACAGCCATTGCTGGTTTCCTACATATTCACAGTAACAGATTAATCCACTTGGTTAAATTAAAGGATCTCTTCAGGTCACTTTTATTCTCACCTCGTTTTACAGCTCGGGGGCTCCCGGGTACGCTGCTCTTCTTATCTGGGCTCAGGATGGACGTTCGTAAACTCGCCAGAGAGCTGCTGTCATCCTCCGAGCCGGAGTCGTCGTCCGGCAGCGGCACGCTGCTGATCTGAGTGGCTTTCTAGAACAAACACCAAGACCAAGAAACGTGGACTGACGCCCGACTAGAACTTGTGCACACACAGAAGTGCAGAGGAGAAGTGACCGTTTACTCACCCCTTTCAGTGTCGTGTAGACTGGAACATTAATATTCTTATAGATCAAATGGGAGGATGGAGCTGCAGGAGGATGCAGGGGCAGACTGGATCCTAAAATATATGCATGCATTCAGTTTGACACATCAACTACATGGTAAGAACACACAATCAGTCGGGTCACAAGAGGAATTTACAGAAAACTGAAGCTCAAAATGACAGAAAACATCAAAAAGTACTCAAAAAGGGCTTTTTTGATTTTATTCCTTTACGCCTGAGTGAATACATGACAAAGGTAAAGAGCTAGGTAGGAAAGAATGGATCAGGAAAAAGTGTTTTAACCTTCCACTTTTTGGTTGTTAAATAGTTTTAGGTCAAAACATGATATTATAACAACATTCATGCTCATAATGAATCATACAGCACAGTAAGTCACACAGCTCCTCAGGATTCACTTTATTTGATACTTGAGATAAAGTGATTAGACAGAATGGCACGAAACTCTTTGTTATGCTGATGATACTCAGATATATTTATCCACACAACACAATGAATCAGTTACTCAGATCACAATCACAGAGACAGTTATTTGCTAATAAACTCAGACATAACAAAGGTTGTAATTTCTGGATAATCTCAGGAACAAACTTGACAGCCTTTGATTTTCTTTTAGTATCTATCTATCTATCTATCTATCTATCTATCTATCTATCTATCTATCTATCTATCTATCTATACATATATGTATATATATATATATGTATATATATATACATATATGTATAAATATATATGTATATATTTATTTATATATTATATATTATTATATTACATTATTATTGTTTAGTGTATACATGTATCTTAGATACTTGTATACAGTTTCTTTTTTAATACTTTATATTTTTGGATGTAACTGGAACCTTGAGTACACAACTTCGTCCACCTCGTGTACCTCGTGATGTGAATTACTATAAAGAACCTTGAACATTCATTTAATTATCAAGAATGTCAGAAAACTTTTTGTTATATTTCCAGTTGATCCAAAATGTTGTCAAGGCCTGTGGGTCAAGTTTGACCCAAGGATAAAAGGTTTTAAAAGGTTTAATAGACAACTTTTTCCTTGTTATCTGTATTGTATTATATTTGGATTAAATTTACTGTTTGCAAGTGAAAAACATGTTTTGGACAAAACTGAATTATAATTTTAATTAATTAATTATAATTAATTATATTAATTATAATTTTATGTGATTTGGACATGTTTCTTCTTTGTTTAGTGCCCTGAAAGGATCTTTGTTGTGAACTGGTGCTAAAGTAAAAAAGAGAAAGAATTAATATATATTTGTTTAGGAATGACAATTCTTCAACATCAGCTGGACCTTAGGGGAAACAAAAATAAGTGGTAAGAAGCTGAATCTGAGTCGTTTTTCACCGTCCTCTGCGTGTATAGAGGATTTTAGCCGTCACAGTGCTGTCAGGTCTGACCTGTGTCAGATTTATGTCAGACCTGTGTAAGATCTATGTCAGGTCTGTGTCAGACCTGTGTCAGACCTGTGTCAGATTTATGTCAGGTCTGTGTCAGACCTGTGTCAGATTTATGTCAGGTCTGTGTCAGGTCTGTGTCAGACCTGTGTCAGATTTATGTCAGACCTGTGT